ATGCTTTTAGTACAAATATTAACTCTTATAGTAAAAATATATTTAATAACCAAATAGCTCTAAACAAAAAAATTATTTTAATTTTTTGTATCTTAATTTCTACTAAAAAATTATATAAATTAATTATCAGACAATACAAATCAAACATGTAGTTTAATCAAGACAAATCTATTTGACCTATATTGAAAAAATCGCTTATCAAATATATTATGTTTTTGTATAAAAAAAGATCTTTATCAACTATTTTAATTTATTTTTTAGTTTTAAAATTTTACTATTCAAAAAACTATCACAATTAGTTCTATATTTATACTAATTTGCTAGTAATACAAATCTTAAAAACTATTGATATAACCTATACTCATAAATCTATAAAGCAAAAAACACATATTACTGGATATTACTTTTTGTATATTAAATCCAAAATCAATACAAACAACCCTATAAACCTTCTTTTTTAAACAATTGCTTATACTGTATTTTATAACTTAACATGTTTCAATAAATTTTTACCAAAAGCAAGTAAGACAAAAACAAGATTCCAACACTAAAAACCCTATTTTTTAAAACAATAGCAAGTATTACTTTTGCTATTATACAACTTGCAAAAACAAAAAATCACAAAACAGCAAATGAAACTTCATTAATTATCAACCCAACAAACAACACATTGTGTCTAGTATGTATTCTTAAAAAATATACATACATGTAATCACAAGCCTCTTATACCAGCTCTTGGGCCACAAAGGCATGATTAATCATAAAACTAAAGCACTTTCTTTCTAATGAGAACATAACAAATCATGCTTCTAAACAGGAAACACCACTGAGCTCGTAACAAGAGACATCCAACTACTCCTAATACAGAAAATCGGAAGTTGGAACTCAGAATCATTCTACCGATACATTGAAGCCACCCAGCCACAATCACCACCATTTTAGCAAAAGCTTACATTAATTAACCCTTGTTACAACTTCTGGATTAATTAGTGCCAGCATAAATACAAAAAAAAAAAAGAAAGCATACATGCACATATAGTATATATATTAAAAAAAAAAAGAAACAAGGAGGGGGCGAAAATAAAAAAGAGAGAAAGGAAAGTAAGGTAACGGGAGAGCTAAGTCGGGACTTTCATAACGAAAAAAAAAAAGAGGGAAAATGAATAAAGAAAAAGTAGCCGCAAGTCCAAGCAACAGCACGGCATGCCGCAGTACCATACTGACCAACCCACAACATATAAGACACACGGGTACAAATTCAGGTTACAAAAAACATATGTAATAAATAAAGAAGGCTTTAACAACAATTCAGTCTGAATAACAGAATCATTCATACAATTGGAGCAATCACATGATTTTGTTATTCTAACAGCCGGCCTGCATTGGCAGGCGGGAAACCACCGGCTGTATAACTGCACTAATAATGCTTTCTGGTCTGTTACTGGATAATCTAAGTTTTCAGCTCCTATTATTCTCTATACGCTCATTAATTTCTGGCTCTTTGCGCAGCCAGCACTACTCCATAACCTACAGGCTAGGTTGGCCAATGGACAATGTCCATTGACATTTTTCTCAGAGCCCATTGCCAACCCTGCCTACAGGCGTGTGTCTTGTTTTTCGTAATTATAAAAAAATATATATAAAATAAAAAAAATTGCTCATCCTTCTAATAACACGTGAACACTGAAAACTTACTATACTAATCTTGTACTACCACAATGTCACCCGGACGGCGAAGCCACCCATATTCGAAATCTCTAGTTTCAAAAAAAAATATCATCGGCAACCCACTTGTCCGATTGCCCAACCTGAATTCAACAATTCATGATATATTATCATTGTTAATGCATGATTTCAAACGCACGTAACAAGGCAACGTATTACAAATCACAAATCTTCATTAGCGTTAGAATTAGAACCAGATTAACCGGAAAGGAAAGATGAGTCAAGGTTAAGACAGAGCCGAATACGTCAACGTAGACGTAAGTATGTACGTACGTACGTACGTAAGTACAGTACTACGTACGTACGGTTACGTCAGATTTTTATAAGGTCACGTTGAAGTTCCGATCAATATAAAAATTTTCTTGCCTCGTGTTAAGTCTCGATATCAACACGAATGTTTTCAGAAAATCTTCCTTATGCGACCTCCTTGGAGGGCGAGGCCGAAGCTTTATTAAACGTCATTGTAGAGCGCTTATGTTCCTCGGCTAAGGCGCAAGATTGGGGTCCGGGCTGCAGTTACTGGGTAAAACAGCTTAATAGGTAAGATACCTAGTTGAATTTCCTTATAGCCAAGAATTGAGTGACAACCTTCAACAAATTCCAAATCATACTCTAGCTATCTTGATCTTCAGCACCCATTATCACGCCAAACTCGCGCTCAACTGGCCCACGTTCTTTTTGAACTCGTTATTACACCTGGAATTGACGCATCTCATGCTGAGGTTTTTGCAAATACTTGTATACGCTTACTCAAGTATGCTACTTTTCACTTACTATAACGATTTAGAAATTATCATATTTATACTCTTCATTATTAATAAACGAAGGAAAAAAGACAAAATTGGACCAGAAGATTTAACGTTACCATGGGAACCATTATATGATATCATTCACCGAACATTTTTCCCAAAAAGTCGACAGAAAACTTTAGTCAGTGAATCGTATCCTATCTAAGAATTTTTCTTACCACACATTAATCCTAATTACTCGAAACTAGTCCTTAATTCACAGAATCATCATCAGTAAACAAATTGGATCTGTGGTACGTCTGGTAGAATATGCACAAAGGTAAGATATTAAACAGATTTAAAGAAGGATTTTATCATATTTGAAGGGGGTAATGAATTTGAAATATTTCAGATTTTTTCCTCCAGAAGCTACAGATGAAATTCTTTCTCGAGTTCTCCCACTTTTCAATGCCAATTCTGCTGGGGATGCATTCACAGTACAAGCTTATCTCGTTCGATTCCTTCCAACTGCGCCGTCTCCAAAGTCATCTCCTTCTAAATGGTTACCTACTATATTTTCATTTTGGCACCTTATCCCAGGATCATTGATGTATCAAATAGAGTTTATAGATCTCGTTGCTCGTGTTGCTGAAGATAATGTTGGTGTTGAAGTTAATAATCCAGACCAGATAGGTATTTTTACTCAAGCACAAATTAAAACCGTATTTGCAACTGGTCAAAAAATGATGGATCTACCAGTGGGTAGTACCACCAACGGTAATAACAGCTCTGGAAGGGGCGGATCAATGACAGGATTACCTTCAAGAATGGATCTTAGAACAGGCAGCGCTATGCTCTTAAAGAAAAAGGGGGTAGGTTTTATTTAGTTAGCATTTTTAAACACCCTTTCTTTGCAAATGATTTCTAACCAATTTTTTAATTTAACATGTGCATAGGATAAGTTCAAAATGCTAGCTAGATTTATTGTGTATTCTATTTTTCCGCCTTCTAATAATACCCAAGAGAAATCAATTCTTACGTATTTAGCGAATATGATCCAAGCCACTGAATCGTATTATCATCCAAGTAATTTTGGACGATGGACCTTCTCTATTGTAAGATTTTTACAATTCCTTGGATGGGAATTCTTAAAACGATGGACTGATGGTATTTATGGTTTATAAATATGGTTTATGAATGTTTTTTTTTTACCAAGATTTTTATGCGATAGTTTTATGATAATATCCTATAAATCATTCTCATTCGTATAGAACACAAGCCGGAATGTAAAACTCCCGAATCACGGCGTTTGACACCTGACCTTAAACGACAATTTGTTCTTACTCTTAGAGGAGTTACTTTCTTGTCAATGTTTGGCAAGGACCCGTTATCCGTTGGATCAAGTCAAGCTGCATTAAAATATTTGGCTTGTATGCTTTATTAGTGAAATAAAATATTAGCAATCATCGTACATAACGTTTGTTTCCCTAACAGAGGTTACGCATTAAAATTTTTTTGCAGGGTTAGAACCTTCGTTAATATTTCCGGGGTTGTTAGGACGTGTTTATCCCTCCTTAGAAACTCTAACTGAGGTAGGTACCAAAACAATATTTACAGCTATCACATATAGTAGATATTTCAGTTTATAAACAAATATATACATGATTGTTAGACCCATAGAACGACATCATCCATCTCGGCTCTTTCGCTTCTGGCGATTCCACTTTTTTTCTCGCGCCCATTATCCTGCCGGTGGAAAACATCTTGCCCCGCTTCTTCATTTAACAATCCCCGGGATTGACATGAATGATCCAATAAAAACAATTTCGTCTCTTATTTTTCTTACACACGCCGTAATGGGCGTTCCTTTAAGAGATTTGACTGAAGGTAGTATCACAGAGTCTGAATTCAGGTGGGAGGGAATGGACATTGATGAAAGAGAAGAAGATCGAATGGAAACTAACGTCGAAGAAGAAGATGCCTTGTGTAAAGCTAGTACTGCAGTATTTGAGGAATGGCTTGCAAAATTTTTAAGACGCGTTTTCACTATCGTATCCTTTACCTGCCATATTAAATCGCACTTTTCTTAAAGTGCAGCTGTTAGCAATATTAAATGTTCGATCTATTATTACTCCTTCATTTTATTTTATTTTGAAATTTGAAAATCCATGATAGTTTGAATATCTTCCGCAATCAGAACGTGGCAAGATGAGTATGCAAAGCATGGAAACTGGATTAGTTACTGTGTTACTGGTAAATTATTATGTTCATAGTTTTGTACTTAAAAAAGATTTTTTCTGGAAGCTGAATTTTTTTTTCCCCCTAGCATGCTTGTGAAATTGTTGGTACACAAATGTCTGAACATCTTCAGGATATGGCTTTAAAAATGGTTATAAATTTTGCATCAACTACAGTTCTTCAGAATGCTACAAAGCCAATGGGTAGGATTTGAAAATTGTTGGATAGTTTTAACCTATATATAATGTAAGCCGCGGATTATTAACTTTTTTAATTATTCATTTTTTCAAACATTCTAGGATACTTATGCTCTACTCTTACAAGTCCAAATAGATGCAAAGCACTTGCCCAGTTTATCCCTCTTTGCCGCACAAATATTATCATTGAGCTTCAACATGGCGCATCATCTACTCCCACTACCTCTCCAACACATCATATACAGTCGGACGCTACACTCCATTGGTATCAATGTATTCTGTATCATGTTATCATGCTAAGCGGATCTGAACTGCTTCGTCATAAAAATGACTTGTTGTATTTGGCAAAAGAAATGGTTCAAAAGTGTCGTTCTCGGAAAGGATATATGTGGACTGGAAAATTTATAAGAATGATGCTAGTCGCACTGACACAAATTTATCCTTTGGAATGTCGGAATGTTGACAAAGAGCGATGGAATTCTGAAGGTAAATAATTTATTGTGACTGAAATTTGAAACGATTAAACTTTTAAATTGATTAATCATATACATAACAGAATATCAGAAAGACCAACACAAATATTGGGTTCAGCCAGGCGACCCAGAAAATATAAATGTTGATTGGCATGTTCCTTCTAACCCTGAATTGGATTTTGCAATGGAAATTTTGGAAATATTTTTATTACCGACTTTAAAAAGAATTCAGGATTTAATGAATAGTGGAACAGATGAGGAAGGGAAAGTATTGAGCAATCGAGAAATGACACATGAGTTTTGTCGTCGTTTGAGTATAGTTCGAAATTGCGTTGGAGGAATGACTACACTTGTCGAGGATGACGGTGACGTTGAGATCTCTGATTACAAGTAATTTTGAAGCTGATATCTTGACAACGAAATAAGGAATACAATTATTGAACCAGATTTTGACATTTTAGAGATTGTGAGACTGAAGCTGTTCTTCCGATAAAAAGTATTCCAGTGGGTTATTGTTTTTTAGATCCGAATGATCCACGTAGACAGACCGCAAGACGATTGCGGAAAGAATTGGGTGAATTTCTTCATAAATTAGTGACATATTTCCGAACGACACGTGAAGATGATGTTGATAGTTTGAAAATCCTCCTCAAGGTCAGTGAATTTAATGCTTTGCTTTATTATATAATTAAATCAATCTATATTTAGAATATACTTTTATGTATAGATTATAAAAATATATCTCACGGACCGTGGTGTAGAAAAATCAAAGTACGATGCAAGTAAAAGAGGCTATCAATATGCTAAAGGCATGTTGAAAACTTCTAACCATGACAAAAAATATCCACGTTATTTACTAGGTAATTTACATCTAAAAAAAATATGGCCGTTAACATTATTTATCATTAGTCTAAAAACTTTATTAAATATATAGTTAAACGAGCATATCAGCAACATTTATGTCGTTTGAAACAAAATGCATTTGGCAGAGAGAGAACTCGGCTACATGATGATTTGCTCAAAGATTTGGTCGAGTTGTCTTTAAGTTCATACTCGGAGATTCGAAAGTATGATTAATATATTGTTTTTGTTATTTAGCATATGTATGACTTGGCCTTCATGTAGTTCACTTGTTATAATTTCAGAATATCGCAATCCCATCTTACAAACGCGTCTCGTTGTTTCATTGGTGCGAAGCCTCTTATTATTCCTATTTTGTTGAATGCTTTGAAACCAACCGGTAATCTTTATTGTTTATAAACATGTAAGCTTAAATAGCAATGATTTTGCATTTGTAACTACTTTTGTTTTTTTTATAGATAAGCCGAATTCCGAAAGAATGAAAGGTGCCCTCTATTTATTAAGTTCTCGGACATATATGTACACATGTTTAAGAGATTGGAGATTTGTTCCATCGTTCATAAGCCGCATATGCCAAGCTCAACACGACGACAAGGTTAGTTGTAAATGCATATAACAATACCTATTAATTTCACTGATTCGTTATTTTGCATTCATTGCAGCCTTCAGTCCAAGAAATGATACGTAAAGTCTTTTACGATTATCTCATGAATTACAATAATACGGCGTTCAAAACAATTCTTACAGATGGATTAAATGATGCAATATGTCGAACGCTTGATACCCTTTCCCTTTCATTGGATAAAAGTGTCTTCGATAAAATTCGAAGCAAAACTGAGCACAGAATGTCTTTACAGAAAAAAAACTATTTTGAACTTGTGAGTCAATGGATACGTTATTAAATATTAAACGTAAAATTGACTTTTTCTCTAATTTATGTAGGTCGATACTCTTTTAAATTTGGTTAAACCTAATACTCTTCATTGGCGGTTTGCGTCTATGGCTGCAAATTTTCTGGATCTTTTAGTACGGCCGGAAGCACCAGCTTCTCCAGAAATGGCAGAATTTGCAGCAAAAGGTCTTGTTTCTGAGCTTCCTGCACTGAGGCGCATTGCTATTTCTACAACTACCCGAATATTATTTCATATTAAACAACGAACACTCATCAATGGTGACTTAGAGTTAATAGCATTAGAAAAAGCAAATAATCCTTTGAAAAAGACCATCACAATACCTAGACCTTTACCAGAAGGATATACTAATGAATACTTAACAACATGTTTGACTAAAGTTAATGAAAATAACGCAGAAAATGTGTATGTATGATTAAAAAGCATTGCCATATTGGTACACATTATTTGTTAGATAATTAATATTTTATAATTATTGGCAAAATAGATTATTTCAAGATAAGGTCAATGTCGGTTGGTATGTTTGGCCTGACAATATTTCTGCGTATTCACCATGTACTGTGGCAAGTGTAATGCCTAGTTGTGAGTTATCTTCTCAAGCCGCGTTCAACAAGTTTCTTGAAAGCTTTAATTCATCAACTTTTTGGTCATCCTTATTATCTTATCTATCACAAGAATATGTTCGCGATAGAGAAGATAACTTTTCGATGATCAATGCACATTTATTTAAAAGCATTTTTCAAATGTATGAAGACACTTTCCTGGAAGTTGCTAAGCCAGAAATTGCAAAGTTATGCGGATCCGCGGAGAAAAATCAGCAGCGTGCGGCATCAGAAATTTTAGCGGGTCTAATAAGAGGAAGCAAACACTGGAAGTGGAGCAAATTGCAGGCTTTGTGGGATTGGGTGATTCCTGTGCTAGAGCAAACTTTCAATTCCATTACGCCAGATTCTCTTGTGTATTGGGAACGATTCCTTGGATATTGCTTCGTAAGTCAACTTTCTTACGAGCACCAGTTGTAAAAATATTTTATTATTTATACTTATTTATTATGTATTTCTGCGTGATTAATAGCGGAATCGAGATCCTAGACGAGTACTGCCACTTATTAACTTAGTTTTAGACTCAAAACTTGATCCTACTTCTCATGCTTCTTTTGCAGAGGCCAAAAAGCTCTTTTTCGTAAATACTCTCATTAATACTTTTTCATGGCGTGTTATACCAAGATCACAGTCACTATTTGATATATATTTTTCGAACATTCGTCATCCTTATAAGCAAGTACGCGATGTTATGGCAGCTAATATTAACATATTGTTACAAATGCAATGGCATCCTTCTGCATCAAGCGTTTCGGAAATAATTGAATTTAATTGCAAGACTGGCGATGGAGTCGGATATTTACCTGTTACTTTGGCTGGCAATTTAAATAACACAATAACAGAATTAGTACAATCATTAACGACTTGGCAAGCAGAAAGAAAACCTACAGCAGCAGGCTCATCAGAATACGGGAACGCTAGTAAAACAGGTATGATTGAATTTCTGACGATTGTATTTAGATGTAAAATATATCTTCTTATATATCGTTTTCTTGTATGCCAATTTAGTACTTGCCTGGCTTTATGATGCACTTACTATCTGGCAAGCATCTTCCACCTACCCTTTGATACTCCCTCTGCTTCCTTCATTGTTTCAAATGCAAGATGTAAATGACGACCAGGATCTTCAAGCAGCCGCAACTCATGTATTGAATGTCATTGCGTCATTTTCATATCCTCCTGATATGGTGCATTTAATTATTGACAAATTCATAGAAATTTTGACTGAAACGTCAAGTTGGCATGTACGTGTAAAAGCTCTCCCAGTGTTACAAGTTTTCTTCTTTAAACATCTTTTTATGTTAAGCGAAGAAAAAATGATTAAAGTAATGGATGTGGTGTTTGACATGTTAAAAGACACTCAAATTGAAGTAAGTTAATGTGACATGAAACCCTTGTATATTATTAAATACATAACGCTTAGAATATTCCCGATTTAGGTACGTCAATTGGCGGCAGTTACATTATCAGGTCTTATACGATGCTCGCAAAGGGGTGCTATAGCTACCTTGAAAGTAAGTTATCTATTACGATAGTTAAAAAGCAAACTTTATGCCCTGATATTGTTTTTTTATTTGCATGGTCTGCATTATATGTTTGTAGGATCAATTCTTTAAGCTATTGGACACTAAAATTCCTCCACGTGCAAGTTCGCGTAGAGCGCCTCGAACAACATTGCCTCAAGGTTTTCAGGAGGCTGTTCTTACTAGGCATGCGGGTGTTCTCGGGCTGTCATGTTTAGTTAATGCCTTTCCTTATGATGTTCCAAAGTGGATGCCTGAGGTGTTGGTGAAATTGGCAGAGTGCATTTCAGATCCTGCTCCAATACAGGTACTATCTCATTCCTTGAGTTTTTTTTCCGATATAAATCTTTATTTGATTTTTCACATTTATTCATTTATGGTTTCAGGCAACTGTAAAAAACACATTTGCGGACTTTAAAAGAACGCATCAGGATTCATGGCATGAAGATATGAAGCAGTTTACAGAAGACCAGTTATCTCTTCTTTCTGATATGTTAATTTCACCCTCTTATTATGCTTGAGGTTATATTTACTGCTTTATATAATGTTTGAACTTTATTTGGTTAGAATTAACATGATTATTTATTGTACAACTTTATAATTGATTCAATAATAAATTTTCATTACTGTATATTACAAGTTTTTCATGTGATAATTAATGCCAAAGTTAATAAACTGTTTTTATAACAGTATAGACGAAATATTTAAACAGGAGAAATTAATTTGAATTATAACAGTTATAGATAATGTTTTTAGATTTAAGATTTTGGGACTTGGTCTTGATATTTAATATTTTTAAGTTTGCAAAAAATAAATATATAAATTATATAAAATTATTAAATTTAATTAAATAAATTTTATAAAATTTTAGTCTTTCTAATTTGGCTGTCCCGCTCGTTTATTTAGGATTAAGTTATTCAAAAAATTTTACAAATTTTTATCTATAACTATTACTAATTCAACCAAAACAAAGGTTTGCCAACGATGCATCATATAGATAATGTATCAACACGACCTGCCTGAGTAGCATTTGGTCTCACTCTGGGTTCTTAGCTTATTAATCAGCTAGTAGCTACCTGCTTGACAAAAAGCAAAATAAGAAAATAAACTACAAATGAGTATTAAAAAAAAAAAGAATGGAGGATTATAATAAAACATACAAACAAGAAAAGAAAGAGATAAGAAGAATATTTAAAACAAAAAGAAATTTTGTCTATTCTAATATTACAATTATAAACCTGTGATAGGTTTGTAAAAACTATATACAGTACTATTAAACAAACTAGTGTTTAAATTTATTTGAATAGTATATAAAAGTAAAAACTAGTTAGAAAAAAACTTAATTAACTAATATAGAAAGATTAAAGATAGTTTTGAAGCATTATTATATTTTTTTTTTTGGTGATTCTGTTTTTATTATTTAAATTAAAAGTATTAGAAATTTATTTTATACAAAATATATTTTCTATACTACTGTATATTCCTGTATTATAGGCAACAAAATTCTTTTCAATGATTTTTTAGTCAACAAGTTCAAAATTTTGAATTACAGAAAAACATTATAGAAGATACCGAAAGTTAATAATAAACTTGGTTTTATATAAGTAGATGTATTGTTGACGAAGTATCAAAAATGTAAAACTAAGAAATAAGTTACTTATGTGGTTTTTGTAGAGGTCAAGTTTCTTGCTAATAGATTTTTTTATTATATTCAGCATCCAAATCAGAAGAATATTTTGAAAACACAATATAAATAGGTGGCATTAAGGATATTATCAACTTAGGTTATCTCTATATAATCATAAAATTTACAAAGAACAACTACAGAAAAGTTTTATTGACCTATCACTTTTTATAAAATTTTGTCAAAAAGTGGGTATTTTAATTTATTTCTTCCAAAAGATTGATATATAAATTTCTAAAACAGTTGGTAATATTTAATAAATAGTTGATACTATTTATCTTCCAAAATGAGATAGTGGCTAAATATTCAGAGTAAACAACCAAGTACATATCAGATAACAACAATAAGTTATGTATTTTATTCAAAAAAATTATTTAACAATACTTTGAGACTATTATATATATTAAAATAGTCAGTATTATTTATTTTCTAAATTGATATAACAAAACAACAAATATATCAAGACATGTATCTTGAATACAACAATTTAATCAAATAATATTTTAAAACTATAAATGAATACTAACTTTTCTATATAATAAAATTTTTTTACTATTTTTTTTAATTTTTATATAAATTTAGAGTAAAGACTAATTTGTTTAGTATATACATACCACTGAAATAGGTTTTTAAAAAAAATTTATTTTATCTTTATTAGAGCAAATTAGAATTTTTATATGTAAGAGCAAATTTAATTTAGATAATTATATTCCTTATAATTTTGTTTCTTCAAAAAAAGTATCAAAAATTTCTTCTTTTAATTGATAATCTGCGAGTTATCCAGATAAAATGATCAACATACACTAAGTAAATTTAACATGGTTTAATTAATAAAAAATCCACCTTGTAAATATATAGTTTTTTTTAGAAGAATCAAAAAAAAAAAAAAAAAAACCAAAACAGCAAGCTTAGCATAGAGGTAATTATATATTGATACGGCATTATCTAAGTAGATATTTTAACAGTGTTGAAAATATGCAGATCGCAAGTGCAATCGCAATGTCAACCAAAGTACAAGCTATTGGGAAAGAATGTGTTAGACTCAACTACGTAAAATATTCTATTAGCATGCTATGATCTCTCGGAATGCATCATACTAGAAGTTAATTTCCGAATTACATGACTAATTTGGATCTAAATTTTGTAGATTCTCTAATCGTGACCATCATAAACACCAAAGTAACTACAGTAAAATCTCTAGAAGTGTATGCTCTTGAGACCAAGCTTTAACAACGTGCACTTATAGATTAATAAGAGAATGTGCATTTATAGGGTACATGTATATATTTGGACCAGAACTTGAACGTGCATTTAGAGAGAGTATGCGCTTATAAAGGGTGTACTTATGAAGGTTTTACTGTATATCATTTTTTATCAAGAAGTTTTAATGTAGCAGTACGCGTCCTTTAT